ATGTATATATATATATATATATGTATGTATATATATGGAGAGAGAGAGAGAGATTGAAAGCTCAATTACGGCCAAAAGTTAACAATTGGTATATCTAGTTGAAGAGCATGTGGATGTTAATTGCACTATTCTTTCAACTTTTTCTGTGGGCTCGAAATTTTTCATAATAAAAAAAATGAGGAAAAATAAAATTAGCATAAATAATTGTTAAATTATTTATTTTGATATAATTGATAGAAATAAATGCATGCTAAAATTTTTCTTAATGTTTGTTTTCTCCCTCTGTCTGCTGGTTCTTTTCCTTCTCTGGTATACTGTCAGCTTCTTATTAACCATCACTCAGCTGGGCTTCTGCAGTGTTTATTTTATGTGTATGGAAGACAATTTGCAACAGGTATGGAGGACTTCTGAGTAGAGTGGGAGCATAGTAGACCTCCTGCTGCTAAGGCTGCGTTAGCAAAAGTATAGTGTTCTGATCATGGGAGGAGATGGCTCCATTCTACTTCCTGAGCAGACCACACTTGGGAGTTCTCTCAGTCCTGGAAATCACATTTTTAAAGGATTGTAAAGGAATTTTGAATTCTCATGGAGTCCAGATTTTCTGGAGCCATTCAGGCTAGATGACCCCCAAAACTATTAGCCTGAAGAAATCTTTAAACCTTGGACTAAAACTATCCCCTGAAGTCATCTTTGAACCAAATAATAGTTTAGCCTAAATAGAAAAGAATGTCTGCATTAAGCATACACTATTTTAAAGAATTATCTAAATGCAATCCAATTGACAACAACTCAAAAGGATAGCTAAGGAGCTTAGGGGTGCAGTGAATTTGTGTTAATGATGATGAAATAATTTGGAAAAGATTGTCAAGAAAGGTGGCACAGTTTGAAGAATGCAACCAATGTCACTGAGTTGTACACGTAGAAATTGTTGAAATGGTGTATGTTTTATTGTATATTTTCACCAAAAATAAATAGACAGACTTTAAAAAGGGGAGGGGCTCATAAAGAAGCCAAAGTAACTTCTGAGGAGTAAAACCAGGATAGAGAAAGAAGCTTGCAATCACGTCCAATCAGAAGTAGTCAAAATAATTGCATATTTTTAGCCTGAAAAGCATTGGTGAGATATACCTTGGGTATTTCAGGGTTGTCATGTAGAAGATGCCTAATTATTTAAGGCAAAAAAGCCACAACCTTCCCCTCATTGCATTCCTAACAGGCATTACAAATCAATCATGGCATTCTTTCTTGGCTTCGTGGAATAGAGGGAGCATATTTGGTTTTGTGTACCCAAATAGCTAGGACTATGACAAGTATCATAGATGGAATATTCAAGCAGATAAGTTTTGCTCAATATTTAAGAGCTTTCTAACTTTTAGGGCTTATCCAAAATTGAAGAGGATATTCTTGTGTTGTAATGAACTCCCTTTCTCTGGATGTATGCACAAAAACAACCATCTGGTAGGGAAGATGGCTTGGTGACAAAGTTCTCTTTAGGCTTGAGATCTTATGATTCCAAGGGTGTCTTGTTATCACAATCACTGACACTACATTTAGGGTTGTCATATTTGGCAAATAAAAGTATAGGACACTGATGCATGCTACAACATGGATGAACCTTGAAAACATTATGCTGAGTGAGATAAGTCACAAAAGGACAAATATTATATGATCCCACTTATACGAAATATCCAGAATAGGTAAAAGTGTATAGAGGTCAAAACTTATTTGTGATTACCAGGGGTGAATGAAACAGAGGGAGAAAGGGGGAATCATTGCTTAGGAGGCACTGAGCTTCTGTTAAGAGTGATGGAAAAATTCAGAAACAGTTAATGATGATGGTTGAACAACATGATGAACATAATTAATGTCACTGAACTATACATGTGAAGATTGTAGAAATGACAAATGTTTTGTTACCTATATATTTACCACAATGAGAAAAATACAAGACACCCAGTTAAATCTGAATTTCAAATAAAGAATGAATAATGTTTTTACTATGAGTGTGTCCTATGCAATATTTGGGATACAGTTACACTAAAAAATTATTTGTGATCTATCTGAAATTCAAATTTAGCTAGTATCCTGTGTTTTATCTGAAACCCTAACTATTCTCGCCTTCATTATGCTCCACATTCTGCATTAGATGGTGGAGGAAGCCCGTGTGACCTCCAGAATCTACCATCCCAGAAAGATGCTGGTGCTGACCCCCATCCTGGATATCCATTTCTATATGCTGATAATCCCGCCCTTCCTGGTCCTGTGGGTGTTCATCCAGAACCTCGGGGAACTCTCCGTCTTCTCAACACTGGCCATCATCACCACTCTGGGGAGCATGGCTCTAATATTTCAGTATATTGCGTAGGTCTGTACCTAGAACTCTCAGAAAAAGGGGACAATGTCCAGGGCCTCTGAGACACCTGGGGACAACTATTATCACTATGGGCAAGTAGAGGTGAGGAAGGTGACCCCTTGCTCTAAGCAGCCCCTGTTAAGGTGACATTTGTGAACCCTCAGCCCCACGAGCTATAAAAGCTAATCATCGTCATCATTATCTTCATCATCATCACCTTCATTGTCATGTTGGATAACCATGAGTCAGAAAACAAATAGTTACTGAATACCTCTGTGATCCAGGCATTGTGCAAGGGGCTGATTCAGTGGTAAGTTAAAAAAAGATAGGATATCTGCTCTCATGGAGGTTACATTTCAGTTGAGAGAAATATTGATGGAATAGCCAACAAAACTTTTAACAGAGGTAGCTTGACAAAAGATACATGGATGTTAGAGGAACTTGATTTACTTGGTCCCAAGCTCTTTCCATATATTAACTCATTGAATCTTCACAATAAAACTATTTGGTAAGTACTACCTTATCTCCAGTTTACAGGCAAGGAAACTGATGCACAGGAAGTAAACTTCCCTTTACTCCCAGTGGGTTTGCCTCCAAACCCACACTATACTACTATCACAGGCTCCTAGTGCTGCTGTAACAAATCACCACAAACTTAACCCATTGCCATCAAGTCAATTCCAACTCATAGCAAGCCTATAGGACAGAGTAGAACTTCCCCATAGAGTTTCCAAGGCTGTAAATCTTTATGGAAGCAGACTGCCACATCTTTCTCCCGAGGCTGGTGGGTTTGAACTGCCTTCCTTTTTGGTTAGCAGCCGAGTGCTTAACCACTGCACTACCAGAGCTCCTTACCACAAATTTAGTGGCTGAAAACAACACCAATTTATTATCCTACAGTTCTGAAGTTCTCACTGGGCTAAAACCAAGGTGCTGGCAGGGTTACGTTCCTTTCTGGAGGCTCTAGGAGAGAATCCATTTTCTTGCCTTTTCCAGCTTCTAGAGGTGGTCCATATTCCTTGGCTCATGGTGTCATTTCTCCTTCCTCAGAGCCAGCAATGTCAAAACAAGTCTTTCTCGTGTTGCCATCTTTCTGGTTCTCTCTTTGGATTGCCTCTTCCACTTTTAAGGACCCTTATGATGACATTGGGCCCACCCAGGTAATCCAGGATAATCTCCTTATTTTAGTATCAGCTGATTAGCAACCTAATTCCTTTTTCCACCTTAATTCCCTTTTTCCATGTAATGTAACATATCCACAGGCTCTGGGCATTGGGGCATGAACATCTTTAAACCAAAAAACCAAACCCACTGCCGTCAAGTCGGTTCCAACTCATAGCGACCCCATAGGACAGAGTAGAACTGCCTCATAGGGTTTCCAAGGCTGTAAATCTTATGAAAGCAGACTGTCACATCTTTCTCCCATGGAGCAGCTGGTGGGTTCGAACTGCTAATCTTTTGGTTAGCAGCTGAGCACTTTAAACACTGCATCACGGTGCATTATTCTGCCTACCACAGGGGTCTATTAAAAATAAGCATCCCAGAGACTCCGGCAAGATGGCGGTCGAGGCAGAAGCACCACGCCGTCCCTCCACAACAAAGATCCGAAAAACTAAGTCAAACAGAGAATCAACAATCCTGAAACCCTAGAACATCAAATGAAGAGATAAAGAACTCAGCCGAACACCAAACGGAGTAAGAATACTGAAAG